GGGGGGCGGAAGGGGGCCCGCCGCGGCGGCGTGCGTTGGCCAAGGCCGGGACCAGGGCCGGGGGCGTGGCGTCGCGCCACAGTTCACCTCGCGCCCCTCTTTTCGCGTCCGCCGTTGCGTCTTGCTCACACCGCACAGGGCTTTGCCGCCCGCCGGATCTGATCTGCATATGTCATTGTTGTGCCTGGCACGATCGCACAATTTTAAATAGCGCAACAGCTGCCACCGTGGATGCCGCATTCAGGGCGGCATCCGCGCCCGCCCGCCGCCAGCCGGGGCCCACCACCGTGCGGCGCGCGCCGCGGGCCCGGGTAAGCGGCTGCGTCTGCGGTGACCACCACCCCGGTGCCGGCGGCCTGTCCTCCCTGGTGGCAGGGACGAGTCCAAGGAGCTGACTGTGCGCGTCATCGACACCTGCCCCTGCGTCCAGGTCCTGCAAGCAGGTGATTGAAACCTGAGTCCTGCAAAGTCACCGGGTTGGGCCTGGTTTTTTATGCGGGGGGGGGGGGGGCGTGCCCGTGCATCCAGGTCTTGCAAGCAGGTTTGATGGTTTAGCTATCATTCTTTGAAAAGCACCCCATCCCATGGTGGCCAACTAGTACGAATCAAATCCCTCTGAAAAGAGCTCTGTCATCATCACGTGGGTGTTCGATTCCAGTACGACAGCCGGGCCCGTCGCCCTCTGTACACACTGCGTCCTCCCACACACAAGGCGGCCTGCCGCCAACAAGGCTCCGCACATCACACCGCGCGCTGCTTCTTGTCGCAGGCGCCCCCGGCGTCAAGCCGGGCGGCGAGGTGCGGCGCCAGCCAGAGTGCTGCGGGGGCTCCGCCGGCATCACGAAATTCGACCTGTCATTCTGGGCATTTGAAAAGCTGGCCCACCCCCTGTACGGCCAGATGGTGGGGCGCGCGGGGCGCATAGCGAGCCCAAGCATTTGCCTGCTGGTTGCTTGGTAGCGGGCACTGCGCGCCATGCATGGCAAGCAATCGAATGTGTGTGCTGGGGTGCGCGCCGGCTGCGCGTCTGCTGGTATCGGTGCTTCAGGGGAAGGGGGTGGGAGGTTCGGGCTGGCAGCGCTGCACTGCCTTGTAGCCTGTGCCTCTAGCCGCATTTCAAATGTTGCCGCGCACAGGGGGCCGCTTACCCCGTGCGCCACATGATGACGACGCCGCCCGGCCTAGCCTGCGGACTGCAGCCTGCGGCCCGAAACTCCTTCTCACCACACATAGGGATTGCACTGTCACCCTGGGCAGCACCAGGGTGACAATTGGGAATTGGGCTGGACTGGACTGCGCTAGATTGCCCTGAACTGGTTGCATACTTGTGGACTGCGCCGCCCCTCCCCGCATCCGCAGATGCTGGAATACCGCCCTGTGGACTGCGACAGCGGGCAGTCTGTGCCAGCGGACTTTGTTGACAAAAAAATGATTTACAAGGGCACCGGCAGCGGAGGGACGGGCGCCGGCTGGGGGTGGTTTGTGTACAGGTGTGGTATGACGGATTACGGTTCAAAACGATCGGTGTGTTGTGGCTGCATCGGACGGCGCACGTGTTCGCGTGTTGCTTGCCAGGGCCGCGGACACCTGGCGGGGAGCGCAGGTCTGCGTCTGCCCGCAGCTGCACTGCCAGTGGCAGCTGCCATTGGCAGGCTCCTGCAATTGAGCAGCCGAGCGGGCGTTTATCGGCGACGCGCCCCTACCTGCACTCCTTGCTCGTTCCTTACGAACCTTGAACCCCCTTTTGCGCATCGCTCGCCAGCGGCTCACAATTCTATTACGCGGTCCCTGGTGAGTGGGCCCGATCTCCACCCTCTCCCCCACGCATCACGTGGGTGTCTGCAATCCTCAAGCCCCTCTGGCCGGATGTCACGTTCGTACGGCGCAACATGATCTAATTGGTGGCACAGAAACCATACCATGGGTGCTGCAGCTCCGCGTTGGAGCTGTGAACAGCTCAGCTGAGCTGTGCCCAGCCTGCTGTGAGTGACCACAATATTTTTCAAAGCAACGCGCCCCGTGTCAGGGCGTTCGTTATTCCCGTCCGTAAGGGAGTGCTGGGTGAACGCCACACACACATTCCAACACTCACACTTCCTGGTGCCGGGCACAGGCGCTGGCCCCGCCGGCGAGGTCGCCACGTGCGTGGAGCTAGCGGCCAAAGGCGGCATCACCTTTGAAGTGAAGCGGGGCGCCAGCCTGCAGCCCTTCGCAGGGGCCAAAGCGCTGCAGTTTGACCTGCGCCCGGGCGCGCCCCCGCCTGCTCCAGCTGGCGCCAACGTGCGTGAGAGGGTTGGCCGCCTTTTACTATTTGCGAGTTTTGGGGTGCGCTCACATCTGGGCGTGTATGAGAGGCTGTTGAGACACACCAACTTCTCACCATGCAACCCCTGAATGTGCCGCCTTGAATCCTCTGGGCCAACTTCTGATGCCTGCCCCAACTGATCCAGTCGATCATCGACTGGAAGTTGCACGATCTCATTTTCAGTGCAGGCTATTTTGCTGAGTGTATCGACTGTTTGATGCTATCGACTGTTTCATGAACCTGATCTGCATGCCTCACGCACAGGAACAGGCATGCCTCACGCACGTTCCTGAGCACCAACACACGCAACCACATGCAAATGACACATTCGCAGGCGCCTCTCCTGAAGCTGTTCGTCCTCAACGACGAGACCCAGAGCTTCTGCAACGCCGAGGCGCTCACAGCGGACCTCGCAAACGGCAGCTCGCCCCTGCCCGGCGGCTGGCGCCGCTACACGCTGCCGTTTGCGGCGCTGCGCTGCGACTACACGGGGGCGCTGCCGGAGGAGGTCGACCGCGTCGACTTTCAAAACCCAGCCACTGACAGCTCTGTCGCGTTTTGCCTGACAAACTTCGCAATCCTGCACTGATTATGGGCCAATTGCATTTATTCGAGTTGCTTGGATGTATTTATATGTGAGGCTTCACGATCTTATGAGCCTGCCAGCAAATCTGGCTGGTTGGATGGTTGCATCAACTGCAGCAACCCGGACACGCATGAATCTTTGTGCCAGTACACCTGACTGGGCTTTCTGCTGGCAGACCATGCTGATAGCTGCATGCAAAATTGCAAAAATGCACAAATGCAAGGCATCTGCTCTTTTGATGAGTGGTAATGCTCACGTCAAGCTGTTCTGTCGGGACCCGCACGGTTCAAGGCACAGCTCAAGCTGCACCGCCACGCAGAACGCCGCAGGTATCATGAATCGCCGCCAAGCGCAACCGCTGATCGGCGGTCTCGTGGGGCCGTTCGTTCGCCTTCTCGCACACAACTCCCCGTCAATGTGCTCGAGAGTTTGCCTGCAACATTTGCATACTGCCCCCCAGCTACGCAGCCGCAGGCCAGCCGCTGACTCTCTTCTCCTACAAATGCTAAGACGGATGTGTATTACATGGACATGAGTCATGAGACCAGCACATGGGGGAGTAAGCTTGGTTCGTCCCCTGCCGCATGGACGCCTCGTGACAGATTACCCCCCTTCTTACGTGGACAACGCTCCTAGGCGCCTGGCAGGCCGGGCAAAGGCACGGGCGTGGCAGTTTTACGCAACACCCTGATGCCGAGAGCGCCCCACGTCGTCAGCGGTTTTTGGCAGGGCGAGGAGGCGCACGGTCAGGACAACGCACCGCAGCCGCGCCGCCCCAGGTCACCCAGCAGTGGCGCTTGGTAGCCATCCCAGCCCCATGATGCCCGGCATTCTCCTTATGAGAGCGAACAGTAGTACAGAGCCGACAGGGGACAAGCAGTGCGCATCCATTGTGGTGGGGGAGAGTGCCTGGTTTGCACGTGGGGCATTCAAGCTGGGCCGAGAAAAAATGCTGTGCGTACGTGAGTGCTTGGTAAGTAAATGGGGCGTTCCGGAGGGAGCGGCCTTGCGAACGGCCGGCGGGGGCTCACGGCCTCAAAAGCTGCCGCCTAACCGGCCAACGGCTGAGTGTGGGAACCCCGCGCTGCTGGCTGCAGCTGTGGCGGGCGCGGCCAGGCTAGTCACGACCGTTCGGACCGAGCGCCAACAACGGAGCCCGTCAAAAGTGAGTGGCGCCCGCTACCCTCTGGCGTGAGGAGGAGCGGTCACAGCTGTGACATGCGCCGGCCCCTGGCAGCGGCGGCGGAATGTAGGCGGGAGCAAAGGTGTGCGCACAAGCTTGCTCGCGCGGCTTGCCCTCGCGCCGCGGCGCCTCGCCATCAAGGCGGGCCAGCCTGGCCGGCCGTCAAGGGCGCCGGCGGCGCGCAGCCTGTCGGGGGCAATACGCGGCTCTCGTGGCTTGGGGCGCGATTCGAGGCAAACTTAAAGTGATTTGAACCCTGCGGGAGGCGTTTCAGGCGGCCAAAGTGGCGGCGGCAGCCGCAGCCCGCCGGAAACCCCAGGCCGAGTGGAGGCCGCCAGCCTCCTGGCGTGTAGAGGCGGCTCGGGCGCGAGGCGTGCCGCCCCCACTTTTGCCGTTGTCCTATGGGAAATGCATCAAACAAAGGCCTTGCCAGTAGTGGGGCCGCGCCTTTCGGCAGCTGGGCGCTCGTTGCCGTGTGTGATGGCGGGGCCTATCGCCAAGCGTGCGTGTGTGCTGGACCCTTGCCACCACCGCGCCCGCATTTCAGAGTGCGTAGGGCCTAGGCGCCGCCCAGCGCGCCCGTTCCTCTGCTGTGCCGCAGCTCAGGCCGGCGCGCGCCGGCGGCCGCCGTGTCGGGAGCGAGGGTGCCATTGGCCCAGGGGCGACCCGACGCTACAAAAGGCGAGGCGAAAAAAGGCGGACGCCCGACCCACACAATCTCTCGGCGCCGTTGGCGGAGGTGGGTGCCTGGCAGGCGCTTACTGCAGGCAGGCGTGCTGCAACACCCCCCCCCCCCAACCGCACGCCTCCCCAAAAGCCCCTCATTCTCGCCGACGGGCGTCCTTTTCCCCTCCGCACGCGCGCGCGCGCCCGCGGCCAGTGGCGGCGGGCGGCGCGCGCGGCGGCGGGCGGCGCGCCCGGCGGCCGGTCAGTGCATAAACATCTCTTGAGCAGTGCTGGTCCGATGCCGCGCGCGCCCATCGGCCGGCTGTTGCGGGCGCGCGAGGCGTCAGGAACGAAAGAAAGGCAGAGATGCGGCAAGTATTGGGCAGCGCCCACGCGTCCGTGGCACAAAGAAGCATCCGCCAGCGTTTTTTTGGGTTGAGACACTTGTGTGTGCCGCAGGGGGCGGCGGCGCATCGTCCCCGTGCCCCTAAACAGCGGGGCGCGGGCGGCGGCGCCGGCGACCCCCTGGCAGGGGGCAGCGGCGGGGCGCCGCTGCATACGTTGTGTATCCGACTAGTTCAGATTTTCTAGGGCCGACCCCGGTCAGGGATGAGGGGACCACGCACGCGCCCGTCCTCTTCCCGACCTCTGCTTGTTCGTGATCGCGCGCACGCCCCCCTTCCAGCCCCGACTGGCTCAGAACGCATCGAGGCGCCCCGCACGCCTGCCCAGGGCAACGGGTGGCTCGCAAGCGCGGGTATTCCGGGGGAGGGGGCTGGGGTTGCGCCCAACGGCCCGTGAGGGGCGGCCCCCTGACGCCAACACAGGGTTGCGCCGCGCACGGACGCCCTGCGTAAAGTAGAGGCTCCGACACGGGCAACCCTTTCCCCCGTGCAAGGCAAAAGCAATGGCTAAGAGGCATCGAAAACGGCCCGGCAAGGAAGCCGCCGGGTGCGGGCACGCATTAGGGGGCGGCACCCACCCCGGCGCGCTCGTGAGTTCAGCCATTCCCACTCTATCGATGCCCGGCGTTGCGCGCGGCGCCGACGTCAGCGCCGCGACCACTCGACGGTGATCCTGCGCCCCTGCGCCTTGGAGGCAGCCTCAGCGGCGGCCCCGACGCCCTGCGCTGTCGTGCGGCGGCAGTCGGACAGGAGCAGCTTCCGGATGCGTGGCGCTGACATCAGCAGGGCGTAAATCCCGGCGTCCGTGACGCGCGGGAAGCCGGACAGGCTCAGGGTCTCCATCGCCGGCAGGCGGGCCAGGCAGATTACGCCCATGTCTGTGACTTTCTGCGAGGGTTGGGGTGTGTGTGGCAAAGGTTGCAAGAGTGGAGGCTTTTACAAGGGACGGTTGTGAGCGGCAATGGACACGCGGCGCAAGGCGGTTCTGCGGGGCGACGAGGCCTGCAAGGGGAGCAGACATGCTGGAATTTGAACAGGTGAGTCGTAAAAGCCAAGCGCCCTAGCTCCCCGCCACGCCCCTTGGATCCGCGGCCCCTGCCCCCCCGGCGAGCCCGCGCGCACGGCGCCTCACCGTGCAACCGCCGAGTGCCAGCGCGCGCACGCCGCCCATCGGCGCGACGCTGAACGCCAGCCCCTCGTCGCTCGCCGCCGAGTAGCGCATCAGCCGCAGCTCACTGACCTGGCGCCCCTGCGACAGCGCGAGCAGCGGCAGCGCCGGCGACGGGGAGCCGCCGAGCAGCCTGTCCGTGTCCATCAGCGACAGCCGCGCGAGCCGCGGGAGGCCGCGGCGCAGCAGGCCCCAGGTGTGGCCCTCGATGGAGGCGACCGCCGGCGGGGCGGCGCCGGCAAAGGGCTGCGGCTGGCCGTGAACCACCAGCTGCTGCAGGCCCTCGTGGCACTCTATCGCGCGCAGCACCGACGCGCTGCCGCAGCCGACGGAGAGCTGCTGCAGCTTGGGGCAGAGCGCGACGAGCAGGCCGACGCGCTCAACGACGGGCTGGTGCTGCTGCGGCTGCTGCTGCTGCTGCTGCTGCTGCTGCTGCGGCGGCGGCTGGTAGTAAACGTGCTGCTGGTGGTGCCAGCCGAGGTGCTGGGCATGCTGCGCCGCCGCCGCCGCCGCCGCCGCCGCCGCGGCCGCCGCCGCGGCGCCGTGTGCGTGCGCGTGCGCGTGCGCGGCCGGGTTGATGTGTTCTTCGTGGTCGACCCAGACCTGCGCGGCCAGGCAGGTGCAGGCGTCCGGCTCTATGGTGTGCAGCGCCAGCCGCTTTAGGCGCTGGAAGCCCTTGCCGGCGAAGTGTGTTGAGACGCAGGCGTGGAGCTGGGAGGCCGTCATGGCTGTGAGGGAGGGCAGCTGGACCAGCACCTGTGGGGGTTGGGGGGTTGGGAAGTGGGTGGGGGTGCTTGGGGTTGGGGGCTTCGAGTTGAGGGGTTGAGGGGGAGAGGGTTGTGGGAAGCGAGGCAGCGCAATGCAAGGGAGGTGATGGGAGCGTGTGTGCGCCAGCGACCGTGCATGCATGTGTGCGTATGGCGTCTATGGGGGTTTTGCATGAGCAAACGAGCCTTGTCTGAGCATGCATGCGGTTGTGAGAGCAAGCCCGCCGAACTGGCCCCGCTGAATTAAACGCCCGCTGAGTTGGACGCGTCCACGCGCACAACCAGGAGTGCCCGCAAGGGAGTGGGCACAAGCACAGCGTGCACAGCGCGCACAGCATGCACGTCATGCACAGCGCGCGCAGCGTGCACAGCGGACCTGCAGGTCCCTGACGTGCAGCGTGAAGTCTATGTAGAGCGTCGCCAGCCGCCCCAGCGCCGTCAGCTGCTCCGGCAGCTGCGCGCGGCAGGGGCTGTGCAGGCTCGCGCAGCCCGTCAGCTGCAGCGCCTCCAGGGAGCGCAGGGACAGCGCCAGGGGCGCGAGGCCCGCGGCGCTGATGAGGCCGTGGGAGAGCTCCAGGTGCTTGAGG